TCATAGTGGAAGTCGAGTGGGAAAAGTAATTTGGCGTTGCTCGGTGAATGGCGTATCGGTTATGTCCTATCGGGTTTGCGTGGTATATGTTACTTATTTCACCGAGGGTGTAATGTTTGCTTTGGTTCCAGACATTAAATTGTGCGTGGTTGTCAATTTCGGGCATAGTGACTTGAGGTGTCTCATGTGGAGCAGTGTTTGGATAGGATCGTGCATTACAGCGAGGCTATGTGGAGATATGACCTTGCGGGTTAGATTCGGGTGTTCTATTCTATGATGTGAGACGGGTTCTCAACCTTGTGTTGTGGTGGTACTGGTGAGCGTGTGGTACAGCTCTTCCATTTGAACCATTTTCATGATTTGAGTGTGTTCGGACCGTTGCATATTGGTGCGTGTATTATGCTAGTTGTGGCTTAGGCCTGTATTGACGTGTCATGTCACCAGAGTGGTGTGTTGGATTAGAGGAGATCGTTGGGATCATTACTGAATGCGAACGGATTCGATTTCAACATGTCGGAAGGGTAAGATCGAGGTTCGGCTCGGAAATTTGCTATGGTATTACCAGAGGATAAGCGGCTTCATGAATGGTTGATCTGAGAAATGGTTACGGGTTATTGCGTGTTTCATTGATCATTGGCAGCATATGAAAGTGTTGGAATGAGACTTAGTTGATGAGAGTTTTTCTATCGGTATTTGGGTGTTGTGTACAGTTGCTGTGAATAGAAGTTATTGCTGCGAGCGTTAAAGTTATGTAGTTTATCATGTAATTGCACCTGAGGTTGCAGGTATGGGTTATTATAGCTGGTTCGGGCTTATTCAGAGTATAGATGTGAGATTTTGGTCTTGTGGATGATATCGGTAGTGGAAATGTGGTTCTATGATTTATGGGCTAAATTGGATTGTGTAATTTTAGCTACTACGTGTATTCGGACCTATAAGAGATAGGGGTGACGTGGGATCACCCCCGGGTATATGCATGGTAAGGTTATTCAGCTATTGGTTGGCTTTTAAAACAACTTTGAGTACGTTCGAGGACGAACGTGAGTTTAAGTAGGGGAGGATGTAACGACCCGACCGGTCGTTTTGAGCTTTTGCACTTTGATCGCCAGTTCTCAGGTATGACTTGCCCCGTGTAATGTGTTATGCCTGACGTAGATCGTTGGTTTTGGTTTTCACGGAAATCGGTATGAATTTGAAAGAACAATCTCAGTTGAAAGCTTTGAATTTGATAGGTTTGACCAAGAGTTAGCTTCGTTGAGTGATTTATAACTTAGGAGTGTGATCGGAAGTGGTTTTGGAGGTCCGGTGTAGAATTTGGCTTGAATTGGCGAAGTTAGTATTTTGCCGATTTCCGGTCAATAGGTGAGATTTTGATCCGAGGGTCGAAATGGAATTCCGAGAGTTTCTGTAGTTTCGTTATGTGATTTGGGATGTGTGTGCAAAATTTCAGGTCATTCGGAGGTGTTTTGGTTGGGTTTTTGATCAAATGCGTGTTTCGGAAGTTTTAGAAGAACTTAGGCTTGAATTCGATGTGAATTGATGGTTTTGGTGTTGTTTGAGGCGTTTTGAGGATTGGAACAAGTTTGAATGATGTTTTAAGATGCGTTGGTGCTTTTGGTTGAGGTCCCGGGGGCCTCGGGATGATTCCGGATGGATATCGGTAAGTTTTGAACTTGGAAGAAAATGCAGAAAATGCAACAGCAGGTGCAGGCCTATTTTGGCCTTCGCGTTCGCGAGCCTGGGGCCACGTTTGCGAAGGAGGAAGTTGGGGTCCCTGAGATTTGTGCTTCGCGTTCGCGTTTTGGTCTCTCGCGTTCGCGGAAGGTTCGTTTGTTTGTGCTCCGCGTTTGCGTTTCAGGTGTCGTGTTTGCGTAGGTTCAGGAGGTTAAAGCTTCGCGTTCGCGGGTCTTCAGACGCGTTCGCGAAGGGTAATTTTGGGCGAAGAGTTATTTGTGCATCGCGAACGCGGGAAGGCCCTCGCGTTCGCGTAGAAGGGGTCCCAGAAGCTGGGCAGAAGGTTTAAAAATATTTCATTCGCGAGCCTAAGTCATTTTTCCACCATTGTTGAACATTTTGAGAGCTCTTTGGGAGGAATTGAAGAGGGATTCGAAGAGGATCGATTGGAAATTCGACGCGCGAGGAGGCCGATTTGAGAGACAAGGGCATAGCGAGCTAGAGCTTTGGCCGGTTTGAGATGCAGGTATTTGTTCACCTGGTAGCGGGTTCTGAGCTGATTAGAGACTATGCCATCGGAGTAAGCGAGGTGACCGCCAGCGTTCGCGGCACCGCATTTCTTCCATTTATTTATAAATCCTATTTTGTATATTTCCGGCTTTGTAGTTGTAATTTCACTCTATAGATGCTCATGACTTGTGACACCCCGGTTTGGGCTGTGTCGGGATGGTTCTACTATTATTATCTATGTTTCCGCAAATTATTGTTATTAAATCATGCTTCATAATTGTTTAATGATGATTAACTGCTTAAAAGAGGTGTTCTGTATTGGTCTGGCTGGCTTTGTCTTCATGCGAGGCGCCATCACGACCGGGTTCGGGAATTGGGTCGTGACAATCAAGGGATTTAGTTACACCCTTTTTCTTTTTTTTTTTCTCCTCTTCTCTTTCCTTATTTTTCTTCCCTTCAATCACGCTTTTGCGTCTACCTAGTGATTATTGCTAAGTGATATTGTGTGAGTTTCTTGTTTAAAATTCATTTTTTAGATTTCCCTTAGGGCCTGGTTTATTGAGATCTGAACTGTGTGAGCATGTGATTTTTTCCCTATACGAAATACTCCTATAAAATCCCAAGAAAATAGATTTTTGTTAATTATTTGCCATTTTAGAAATTTTTGTAGAATTTTTATTTAATTGTTTGCATCTTTGTGCATGTTTAATTTTATTAAATCATGAAAAATACCAAAAATACCATGCATTGCATTCAGGCTTTATTTTTATATTTTTAGGATTAATCAATGATTATTTGTTTTATAGAAATTTTAACATCACAAAAATAGCTCATTTTTACATCTTTTGTCTTTTAATTTTTAATTTATTGATTTTTTCTTTTAATTTAGAATTAAGTGATGTTTATAATTTTATAATTAATTAATTAGTTTAATTTCACATTTTTAGATAATTTAAGATTTTTAATTAAAAAGAAAAAAAAGAAAGAGGAGAAAAGAAAAGAAAATAAAAAAAGGGGGATAATTTGGAAATTGGATTTGTTTCAATTGGGTTGATTTTATACCCATGTCCTAGCCCAAAAAACTACCCGAAATATTTCCAACCCAGGCCCAAACTAAAATACACCCGGTCCAGCTCCCCCGGTCCCCAAACGACCCCGTTTTGTGGAGATTTAATCACAGCCGTTGGATTTTGGTAATCCAACGGCTCGGAACTAGGCAGTCAATTAATATATAATTGTCCTAACGAGACCACCCCCCCCCCCCCCAATTCAACCCTCACTCAATCTCTCCCCTCTCTCAAAAGACCAAACCCTAGCCGCCCCTTTATTCTCTCGCCGCTCCGCCGCCAACAGCCACTGGAATTTGCCTCACGGCGGTTCCGGTGTTCTAATCTTTACCAAATTAACACCCTAGACTCCCCTTTCCCTCCTCTTTACAAATCTCCAACCCAATCCCTACGAATCACCCTCAAACGCTTCGAATCTCAAATCCGAGATTCAAAGTCAAAAACCCTAAATGCTCCAATCCGCTCCAAATTTGCACCCTATTATCCTTGCCCCTCTCTAAACCCTATGCTACCACTAGCCCCCTCCAAATCGGCCCCAATTTGGTCGAATTTTGGATCTTAGATTTTGAAACCCTAAAAAACTTCTACCAAGTCGATTCCGGGAGTTTTTAAATGGCTCAATTCTACATGGGTCAACTGCTTTTGATAAGAGCAGTTGATCCATGTGGATTTGACCTATTGTTCGAGTTGCCCTAATCAGTCCTGACTCTAACCAAGTCCTCCGGATCCAGTTGGTTCTACTATAGGTAATTTTCTGGGCTATTTTTCTATCTTCTTTTCTTTTTTCTTTTCTCTTGGCCATCTCTTTCTCCTTTCCTTTGATTGATTTTTTTATTATGTTTGTTTTGTATGTAACTGCATGTTTTAAATTCTCTTTTTATTATTCATGAATTGTCGTCTCCTTCTGCATTTAGTCATTAGGAACCAATCAGTAGTTTAGGGTTCGTTTTTAGTTTAGTTTGTTATTTACTCTGTTTCCCCATGATTTCATTTTCTCTTCTGTTTTCTTTTCCCTTTTCTTGTTCACATTTCTGATTAGTTGCATGATTTAGGTTATTTTCCCTTTTCCTCTGTTTTAACAAGTTTCATTGTTTAGTTTTCATTATTAGGAATTTAAGTTGCATGTTAGTTTCTAATTATTTTGTTTGTTTTGCCTCTGTTCTTTCCTTTCCTCTCATGATCATTCCTCTCGCAAGATTGTTTGCAGTATACTTTGATTCAATTAGGATAGTATTCATGTTGGTTAATTGCCTAATTCAGCTTTAAATTAATTCAGTTCAGACTTGGTTAAAATTGAGTAAACCCTTTTTGAATCTGAGTCTTAATTGCCTAATACATGTGATTACTTAGGTTTAATTGGTGTTAAGCTTAGATTTGAGCCTCTGAACAACCACTTTAAAACCTTGGTTTAATTTCAGAATTAGAAATACAATACTTTAGGGTAATTTAATCACCTGTTTAAAAGCCTAAAGTAGTTGCAATTGTTTTAAAATCAGAACTTAGGCTAAACATGAAATAGGAAGTAACTTAGAGGGTAAAATGGGATTTTTACTTAGGCTAAAAAATCAAAAATGTATAGCTGTCCTAGCTGTTACAAAAGATGCTGAATTAGGATAGGAAGGACAGTTGTATTGTACTATTTTCAAAGGTCTAGGATAAGGAATATACCCAAGATATACCCTCCCTAGATAGCCTATATATAGGTGGGTCTTCTCCTTCTGATTTGGACAGAGATTGAGCATCATTTTTACTGCACAAAAGCTCTATTTCTTTCTGAAAAATCTCAGATTCCAGAAATCTTGAGAAAACTTCAAAACTTCTCATTTTTCTGATTCTTTACAAGTTTTAAAATATGGTTTGAAGGGGAGGATTTCTCTGTTTCATTTGGCTGGTTTCCTGGTTTCAAACTATCTTCATTTGGTCTGGGTTTATTGCTGTTTTTGCTGGTTTGCTACTGAAGTTTGGGTTTCCTTTCCTCTTTTGGTTTTCTTGACCTTTATTTGGTCATTCCTCTGCCATATTTTTTAATTTCAAGGTATGTACAATGTTCATCTTGAATGGAATCAATTTTGAGTTCAAAAAATCTGTATTTGTAACTTGTTTAGTTAGCTGGTCTTTGATGTGAGTCTGGGAATCATGACTGTTTGAATTTGGAGTTGATTGAACCATCTGATAATGTTAGTTTAAATGTTTTGTTGAATTTAATCATGAAATCTGTGTTTGCGCTGCACATGTGTTAAAACTCAACATTCGCTGAATCAGTATATACGCCTATGAAATCTATGTTAAAAAATTCCTCTCTTATAGCAGCACAAAAGGAAAGTGAATCTGACTCTTTAAATGGTCAGATTCATCCCTTAATAGTGCATAATAATCTTGATTTCTTTAGTATGTGTTTAAGTTATTTCCACTTCCCCTCTTTTCTCCTTTACTGAAATGAGAGCTATGAAGTAAATCATGGTTTGGAAATCTTTGCATGTCTATAGGGCTGACATTAAACATGGTTAGACCTATTGACAACATTGTCTTTCCTTTACTCATTTTTGTGTTAGGATTAACTGGGTAACATTGTAGGTCCCTACTTGAAGATGTTTTTGTGAATCTGACCCTTCTCACATGGTCAAACTCATGAAATCTTGGCTCATTCAAAGCTGGAGCAGTAGCAGTTTAGGAACTTCCCCTTTTCATTTTGTTGCAATTTAGTTTAAGACACTAATGTAGTTCATATTTTGTACCTTATTTAATTCTGGAATTTATAATAAATTGGACTGGACTTTATAAATTTATATACTAGTTAATGCAGTCCCAGTAGTTTATTTAGCTATGTTTTAAAGGTGTATTAGTATGCTATGTTTAAAAAAGGGGCAACGTTTGGCTACTGAGTTTAGTTCAGCTATTTGATTCCAGCAATTTCAAAGGCCTGTTCATCTATGTTCAAAAACTGGTTTTAAGTTTAGGACTCAAGTCTGACTCTATAAAAATGCTTGATAATAAATTAAGGCACAATCGAAACTGACCTGCGAAATCAGTCTGGACCTGGGCCATTGGGCCTGGGTCCTAAGCACAAATCCAGGTTTTTCTCATAGGTCATGGCATAAATGTGATGTTTCTTTTATCTTGCAAATCGTATGTAGTACGATTAACATTCAAATTTGAGTTGTGAATCTGAATTTCCTCTATTTAAAAAAAAAGTTAACTTGTAGCCCGTGATTTATGTGTATATTATGGCTAAGAATGCAAAAAGGGTGGATAGGCCCAGCCGGTGTAAATTCACAACTGGGCCCGCCTGAAGCCCAATGTGGGTAAAAACTAGTCGAATTCAATCCTGAAAATAGCGTTCTGCTGGGCCCAAATTTGGAGCCCAGATCCAGCTTCTTTTAAAGCTGAGTACTTATGGATTTATCCATGTTGAATGTCCTGGCCCAAAACATTTGTCTAATAATAATTCTAACCCCAGCATTCCCGTTTCTAGTTTAAAGATTTCCTAGTTTGAGCTTCAAAATTAGTTAGTCTTAATCAATAAAATGCAAACCCCTTTTTTTTATAGTAAAAACAGTTTGAGGCGTGCCATTTTCCTTCAAATAACCTATGGCCCTCATATAAATATTAACTTAGTATTAAAATAATCTTAAATTATCGTAGTTTGCTTTAGGCCCGATTTAGATTAGTATTGTGATTATGTATACGTTAGCGTAACATAATTGCGAATTTAATTCTAAAAGTAACCTGAGGGATGCGTTCTCGCAACTTCAACCAAACTTTTCTTAATAAAATAAACAAACGTTATTAATTGTGGACACGTTCGCGTGACATGATTTTGACGCGCCAAAAGAAAAGAGTATACGTACGTGTAACTCAATTCTTTAATTACGAATAATCAAGCAATTAAAAGCGGTAAAAGATAAATGCACATAGGTCCTATAAATGAGTAGTTAAACATTTAAGCCAAGTAATAATCACTAAGCGACCGTGCTAGAACCACGGAACCCGGGAATGCCTAACACCTTCTCCCGGGTTAACAGAATTCCTTATCTAGAATTTCTGGTTTGCAGACTTTTAAAATAAAAATCAAAATTTCCTCGATTTGGGATTTAAAATAAACCAGTGACTTGGGACACCAAATAAACTATTCCAAGTGGCGACTCTGAAAAATTAAATAAAATAATCCCATGTCGAATAATGTCACTTTAATTGGAAAAACTCCCTTATATACCCCCTCTGGGGTGGTAAAAAAGGAGATGTGACAAACTGAAATATTTCAAAGGTCCTAACTTTATCTTTAACGGGGTAAGTCACTGATGAAAACTATAATTACGTATTTTAATCGATTATTATAAACCAATTCGTTGCACTTCAGTTGAGTTTGCGCTTTAATCGCTAGTGTTTTGCACTAATTGTGTGTTTTATGCCTTGTAGGAGTGATTCCGAGCTATGTAGATGTTATGGAATGAATTCAAGTAATTTAGAGCTTTGAAGTCTGAGTAAAATCCCAAGGAATTAAGACGGGATTGTGTTCGGGGATCAACGGATGATAGTTAAGAACGAACGAAGAATCGAGTAGGCATATTGCGCTCTGTCTAGTAAAATACACATAACTTTTCGCTCAGAACTCCATTTGAGCTCCACAATATATGGTTGGAAAGCTAATTCAAAAGGACTACAACTTTCATGTTTTACGTTTTTCCAAATTCCAGACAAAACATGGTGAAACATGCGCAACAAGTGCGCGGCCGCGCACATGCCGCGGATGTGAGGCAGAAACTCAGTAAAATCCGCGGCCAAATCCGCAGTTGAATCCACGGCCGCGAACGTCCTGACCTGGAAAAGTGTCCTTTTTCACGTAGGAGAAGGTATAAATGTTTGGGCCCGACCCTACTTGGTATATATACAAGGAAAAACGGTATTTTGAGCACCTTTGACATACTTTTGACATAATTTAGACCTAAGGAGGCTAAGGAGACCGGGGATTCGACCTAAGGAGGCTAAGGAGACCGGGGATTCGACCTAAGGAGGCTAAGGAGACCGGGGATTCGACTTAAGGAGGCAAGAACACACTGGGAGCAAGGCGTAGAACTCTTCTACGAGTTTTTCACTTCCTTCTTCCTATTTCCATTATTGGTTATGTATTCTAATATTGTAGCTATGCATACTTTTATGAATAACTAATTTGTTATTTAGAGTTTTGATAGAACCTTTTGTAGGATGAATTCTTGTTATGTTTTAAAATAATATAGCCTTTTAATTTCTCTATTTGTTCAACTACGTGCTTATTTCAGTTGATTGAATGACCATCGATTGACTGTGCCTATTTATTATGTGTTGCTTGAGAAAGGATACATATTTAGGTGGTTGTTGAACAACGTCACTCCTATCGTATGTGAGAAATCAATACAGCAGGTTTAAAGGTAGGTTTAGAAATAACAAAGCCTTGATATGGTCATAATGAGCGGTTAGATAAAGTCAACTAGCGTTGTTCAAGAGAATATGTCTAGTAAATTATTGTAGTTGCTCGAGAGAGAATTACGGCACCTAAAGTGCTCACGATCAGTAGAGAATACATAGGCGAAATTGTAGGGAACATAGCGGGAAGGATTTCAACATTTGGGGAAATCATAACTCTAGACCTCCTAAATTTAATCTTCAACCCTTAGTATCTTTACTTGTTAATTTACTGCTTTAGTTTCTTAGTTAATTAGTTAGATATAAGAATCTTAATCTTTACAACTTAGAAATTTATTCGAGCTTGTCTTCTTAGCGATATTGAACAATTAAGGGGAAACCTTAGTTCTCTGTGGGATTCGACTCCGGACTTTTAGACCAGATTGTATTTACAGCGACCGCTTATCCTTTTTAGGACTAGAGTTGGGCATGATCAAATTTTGGCGCCGTTGCCGGGGAACTAACGGTGTAGTTGTAGCTGTATATATTGCTAGGTTTTGAGTTTGAACTTTTATTTTGTTTTGTTTTGTTTTGTTTTTTGTATTTATTTTATTTAATTATAACTGTTGATTTGAGAAACATGTCATCTTGGAATTATGGGAATTTAAGTGTAGATAATTCTACTATTGATCCTCATACATATTGTGAAGGAAACCACCCGTATCAAAATTATCAAACTATTCCAAGAGCGAGTTATGTGCACCAACTCAATCTTATTTGTGGAATGTGTGTGATGTGTGTGGTGATAAAAATGGTCACTTTCATGGTTGTACTTATATTTCTTATCTTCCCCCAATCCCTTACTATGATGGTTCTACCTTTTCTTGTGAAGTTAATAGGAACAAAGAACCTGGGGATGCAGACCTGAATAGATCAAGGATATGTTAAAGTGCCTTCTGGAACAAAATAATGAAAAACAATTGCAGATAGAAAGGCAAAAGGAAACTATTCGCAACTTGGAGGCTCAAGTGAGTCAAGTGGTTGAAGCTTTTAATGCTCAGCAAGCCAATTTTGGGGATAGGAGCCAAAAAGAGCGTGAATTTGAGGTGTTAATTGAGGAGGTCAGAGTAGAACATCAACAACCTAGCCAACTACAATTTGAGGATGTCAATGTTGTAGAAGTGAGACTAGAGTCGGCCAAAGACATTGATGATATAAATTTTTTTGACTCTAGTATCATTGATGTTGAGGATGCTGAAAATCCTGAAGTTCATGTGTGTGAGCGCATTGGTCCTCACTCCAAACATTTTTCTACGTTGTGCTTGGATGATGATATGGAAATAGAGTCATCCGAGCCGATTAAGAAGTCAAGGAATGAGGAACAAGGTGCCTACATTCTGGAATTTTTCTTGCCAGAAAGACAGGACTACATACCTCATCTAAACGCCAAGAAGTGTAGAATAGTACAATGGTTGCTTGGGCCAATTAGATTTTTTCCTCCACCCCTAGAGCATAGCCGAAAACCTGATGCCAAATGGGGGGTTCAATTTATAAGCTCGAGGTAGAGGAAGAAAGTGATTTGCGTCGTGCCGCGACGTTAAATGAAGCGCTTGTTGGGAGGCAACCCAGCTTTATTGCTTTCTTTTATTTTTTTTATTTGTCTAATTGTATTATGTTTGTAGTGTTGATTTTTGATTTTCCAGGATCATGGAAAGCAAAGCTATTGGAAGGATACAACAGCAAACCAGATGGTTGGAACTAAGTGTGAGGTACCCGCACGAAGGACCAAGCCTGGGGAAGTCTGAGTACCCCATGAGCTACTAGTGCTTCGGCCTTTGGCCTACTAGGGAGTTTCATTTACCCTCTTATAGTTATGATGTGCATTGAGGACAATGCACAATTTTAAGAGTGGGATGAGGAGATTTTCTGGGTGACTTTCTATGCTACTTTAGCTATGTTAGTTTAATTGAATAACATTTTTTTTTTAAAAAGATTGGACTTTTCCCTACGATGGATCTATTAGACAATTTTCTTGAGGGATTTAAGTCTAAAGAAAAAGGACAAAAAGATTTTCTTTTGTTAGGTAGTGTAGCAATTCCCCCTTGGTTTTTCTTTGTGCCCGGTTCTTTTCCAAGGGTTTTATTTGAATCGGATGTACTTAGTTTTATTTTTTAGGAGTAGGAGCCAGTGTGAGATGAATTGAATTGAATCAATATCTCTTGACTTTGTTATGCCTTGAGAATAGTGAATACTTTGGTTGTGACGCTTAAGCTCAGTTTTTGACTCTTGTAGAAGTACCTAAAATTGTATGATCTTAACTTAGCTTAACTGCTTTGACTAGAGTGTCTTGATGAATCCAATCCTGAGTGAGTTATGTGCCATATGTGTGTGAGGTTTGGGTGT